ATGAATCAGGGTATCTTCCGTCCAATCGATTTTTGTTTTAATATTGAAATCTGAAAAATGAAAAACGGCACATATTTTGTTTTTCAATTATTCAAACAAAACGAAAAATCAAGAATCCGGCTTAATTTTTCGTTTTTACATTCAGGGATAGAAAACGAATAAACAACTTGAATATTCGATCTCTACATGTGGGCGGGAATGAAACGCCCCTCTCTGCTAATTGGTCAACCAAACATTACAACATAATAATAGTCCTAAAAAAACCTTAATAATAGTCCTCCGCTTCTATTGATTCTTAACATGTTTATTTCTACTACATTTTATCTCTTCATCAAACAGCCAGATTAATGAATGGCTTGACACAAACCATACTGAAGCAGAGCCTTTTGGCCCTAGGCATGCCTGTTTTATTATAGTTATCCACCCATTAAAATATGTGTGGCAAAGCTGCGCGATGCACTGCAGCGTGGGGAGAATGTATTGTAGACAAGCGCAGACCACTATTAATTTATGTGAACACAGGTAGTTTTAGACAATAAACTGAGTTTATTTAATTAATATGGAGTATTGGCCAGCTAACTGATGGCATACACAATTGTTATTTTCTCTGCCAACTAAACCCAAGTCACAGAACCGTTGTGTACCTGACTGACTCGCAGTCGGCGCATAGAGTGGTGTATCATTCCTAAATGAATCAGTTTTTGAAAAACCCATTATTATAGACAACAATTCAATTACCAATTATTATAGACAGCCGCTTGATTTTATTCCTAAATGAATGAATTAAGCATTTTGAACCAATTGATTGAATAAAAGGATCCTTTATTAACACAATGACTTACAGCCACCTAGTGGCGATATTACTTTCATAATTCAAGTATTATTTAATTTTATTCATATTTCTATTAAAAATGTTGTATAAAACATTAATCTAATTTCATTATACATTTGTAAATGCACATACAGCCATCTTATCAGCATTAAACTGTAAATACATTTAAAAGCATCTTCAGACCCAGGTTCTATATCATTGAATACTGATTTGGTATGGATACTGAATTGGTAACAGCCTATTGTCGTATTATTCTAATTTATTTAATGTAAGAATTTAACATTAAAAATGACATAAAAACGGTAAAAGGTAAAAAAATTAAATTAAATTAATTAATTAATAAAAAACTGAAAATCAGTTGCCCCTTATGTGAAAGTTAATTTCTGATACTGCTGACACTGGCTTATTGTTCGAAGTGTTATTTCAGGGTTT